ACAAACTGAAATCAATTTCTAAGATAGTAACTAATCCATCTTTGTGCAACGCCTCTGATGCCATATCTTTCAAGTTTCTTTAACAATATTTTGTGATCAGTAGTGTCGAATGCTTTCTTCAAGTCTTTAAAAATTCCAACCGAATAATTTTTATCTTCTATTGCAGAGGTTATTTTTTGAACTAGCTTTATTACAGCCATTTCTGTGGATCGATTTGCTTGAAAGCCATACTGATGATCATTTAATCATTTATATTTTTTAATAAAACAGTCTAATCTTATTTCAAATATCTTTCAAGTATTTTTGAAAATTGTGAAAGGAGGGAAATTGGTCTATAATTTGAAAATGAATTGGGTTTCACCATTTTTATAGATAGGGATAACTTTAGCTATTTTCATGTTGTCCGGAAAAATACCTGTTTGAAGAGATAAATTAAAAATATAGGTTAGTGGTTTTACAACGAATGTCATAACATCCTTAATTAGTGCCATATTACTTTTAATTTTTTTTTTATTGTATTTAGTAGTTCATTTTCTTCAACTGGCTTTAGAAATATTGAGCTTGTATTTGATTTAATTATGTCAACATCCACACCTTTTAATTCTGGTTGCACAATATTGTTTACTAGATTGGCTCCTAAATAATTATTAAATTCGTGATCAATATCGATTGGCTTAGTTATAGTTTTTAATTGATTTGTGAAGTACTTTGGATATTCACTTTTCTTATTGTTATTGACTGCTTTATTAGTACCTTCCAAGTCTCTTTGGCTGTAGTAGATTATTATAATAGTCCTTTTTGCTTTTCCTTAATATGTTTGTTTAGCTTGTTTTTATATAGTTTATATTTAATGTCGACTTCCTTAGTTCTCTTTTCTAAAAAAGTTTTATATGGGAGATTTTTCTTGTTGGGTTTGGCTTCATACTTAGACTGCTTTTGCATGTGCACAGGGCAATGTTTGTTGAATAGGTGAATAAAAATAGACAGGAATTTATCATAAGATTCATTTGGATCATTGCTTAAGTAGACTTCATTCCAAGTCTGTATATTTTATTTAACTTTTTTGAAGGCTTTTATGGATGTTGCTGTTTTGAGTCGTTAAAGACTGTATACTTCTTGTTTTTTTGTGTTTTTATTCTGAAAGAAGTGTTGCAGTGTCGTAAAAACAGGGAGATGATCACTTATATCGTTTATAAGGAGGCCACTTATCACATAACTACAAATTACCTCTGTTTCTTGATCAATGTCCGAACCAGAGTAGATTAAAACAGTCTAATCTGTACGTCCAAACACCCTTTTAAACGTAACATAGCATCTTCAGGCCAGTCTTTCATCTTGATTAACTGTTCCTTCTCATGTTTTAGAACAGTTTTATATGTATGGACAAGTATAATACCATATTATGATCTGAAGTGCCCAAAGGTGGTTTACCAAATGACTTGTAAGCTCCTTTGATCAAGCCATAACACAAATCCAGAATTGCAGCCTCAAGGCCCGTACACACCGGGACGAATATCAGCGCGAGTTATTCGCCAGCGTTTTTTGTGTTCACACCCAAATGATTTCCGCTGACAATGAGCCGAGTGAACATGCAAATTCATTCCCTGGCATTAGATGGCACCCATTTGCTCTGCAATACCACTCCATAACAGTTCTCTTTTATCAAGATGTTTGTATTTGTAGTCGCTGTCGCGTTTGTCATATAGTTCTTTATGTTCTAACATCAGCGAGACCAGCAGCTCTACATTCATCTTGCCTTGCATCTTCCTCATCTTATTCCTTTGTTGCTGTGTAGATGGTGACGCTATTTGGCGTATATCTTCTTCGCCGTTAAGTATGTGTGCTTGGCAAGACCATTTTGTGTTTGAGTGCCCCCAAGTTGTGTTTTACTGTAACTTCAGAAGCCCCAAACACGTGAGCAAAAGCGCCAATCTCATTGGTCGGATAGTTTTTGACGTGGCGCGTCAAACTAAAAAAAACGAACTCGAGGCGTTTTTTTTTTAAAAATGACGCTTTTAAGCGTGGCGTTTTACATGCTCACATTGGCGCCCTTTATTTAAAGGATTAGTTCACTTTTGAAAAAACTTTTGCTGATAATTTACTCACCCCCATGTCATCCAAGATGTCCATGTCTTTCTTTCCTCAGTCGAAAAGAAATGAAGGTTTTTGATGAAAACATTCCAGGATTTTTCTCCATATAATGGACTTACATGGGAACCAGGTCCAACCGAGGTCCAAACGACAGTTATAACAGTTTCAGATGCAGCTTCAAATGTCTTTAAACGACACCAAACGATGAATAAGGGTCTTATCATGCGAAACGATCGGTTATTTCAAAGCTTATTCCAAAAATGTAACTTTTCTAAGGACAAATGCTAGCCTTGTAATATATTGTGAGGCGCGTTTGCAACGTCACGTAATACGTAATTACGTTCAAAAGGTTACGGGCGACGTAGCCGGAAGTACAGAATCAAAATCGTCCGACATCGTTGTTTTACCTTTTAATTCCTTTTTTGTAAACGGCATTTGAGTTAGTTTTCACGTTCAACCAATGCGTTCAACTTGTAAACACTGACTCTGTACTTCCGACTACGTCGCCCGTGACCTTTTGAACGTAATTACGTATTACGTGACGTTGCAAACGCGCCTCACAGAATAGAGCAAGGCTAGCATTTGTCCTTAGAAAAGTTACATTTTTGGAATAAGCTTTGAAATAACTGATCGTTTCGCATGATAAGACCCTTATTCATCGTCTGGTGTCGTTTAAAGACATTTGAAGCTGCATCTGAAACTGTTATAACTGTCGTTTGGACCTCGGTTGGACCTGGTTCCCATGGAAGTCCATTATAAGGAGAAAAATCCTGGAATGTTTTCATCAAAAACCCTCATTTCTTTTCGACCGAGGAAAGAAAGACATGGACATCTTGGATGACATGGGGGTGAGTAAATTATCAGCAAAAGTTTTTTCAAAAGTGAACTAATCCTTTAATCACAAGGTGTTAAACGTCTGAGAATATTGCGCGCAAAATTTGTCCCGGCGTGAACAGGTCTTTACGTGTTGGGCAAGTTACATACTGATTAAAGTGGCCCAATCATTTCTCCAATGTACAATTATTCAAATCTCCCAGAACAAAACAGGGTGTATCAGGAGATGCAGATTGCAGTTCGTGAACAACGCATTCAATCTCACTTATCTCATTATCCTCGTCTGGTCGGGGATAGATGTAAACAACCGTGACAAACAACTGAGGAAACTCCCAGGAAAAATACTGAGATCTTGATGCCACAGACAGTATCTCGATGTCTTTCGTGCACACTCTCTCCTTAACGGACACAGATTTGCACCAGTTCTCTAATGTACAAACATACCCCAGCTCCTTGCACTTTACCAGTTACCGTCGCATCCCGGCACTCTGAAATCCTCACTTCGTAGACTCCAATCTGAATCCCCTTCTGAGAGCCAAATCTCTGTGAACGCCATCATGCAAACGTTCATGTAATCATGCTGGAATTCCACCTTAGCTTGAAGCTCATCCAGAGACTGCACATTGGCCAACACAATTGTTGGAAGAGGAATTTTCAGTCTTCAGTCTCTGACGAACACCTCCTTTTCATCCTTTTTTCCAGAGCGATTTTGTTTTAGCTTGAAAGGCCAAATCAGATGCTTCACACTGTTAGGCTTATGCCATTGTAAAAGAAACTCCCGGGAGTTTTGAATTCTTGCCGATTCCAGAGGTGATTCAACAAACAACAGACTAGCTCTATTACAGCCATTTCTGTGGATCGATTTGCTTGAAAGCCATACTGATGATCATTTAATCATTTTTGTTTTTTTTAATAAAACTGTCTAATCTTATTTCAAATAATTTTTCAAGTATTTGTGAAAATTGTGAAAGGAGGGAAATTGGTCTATAATTTGAAAATGAATTGGGTGTCACCATTTTTATAGATAGGGATAACTTTACTATTTTCATGTTGTCTGGAAAAATACCTGTTTGAAGAGATAAATTAAAAATAAAGGTTAGTGGTTTTACAACGAATGTCAAAACATCCTTAATTAGTGCCATATCTATATCATTAAAATCTGTGGATTTTTTACTTTTACATTTTTTTTATTGTATTTAGTAGTTCATTTTCTTCAACTGGCTTTAGAAATATTGAGCTTGTATTTGATTTAATTATGTCAGCATCAACACCTTTTAATTCTGGTTGCACAATATTGTTTACTAGATTGCCTCCTACATTTACAAAATTAAATTCGTGATCAATATAGATTGGCTTAGTTATAGTTTTTAATTGATTTGTAAAGTACTTTTGATATTCACTTTTCGGGTGGATCAAAGTCGATAAAACAAAATTACGCTCATTTTCTCCATTTAGCCTACTGCTTATCAAGTTCTTCAGGAAGGTATACACTCTAAAAAATGCTGGGTTGTTTTAACCCAACTTTGGGTCAAATATGGACTAACCCAGCCGTTGGGTTAAATTTTTACATTACATTTTTAACCCAACATTTCGGGTTTGTCCATATTTGACCCAAAATTGGGTTAAAACAACCCAGCATTTTTTAGAGTGTAGGAGAAATCTCCATGTCCAACAGTGTTGAGAAAAAAAAAGGAAGCAATTACAAAGCACACCGACACCTGTAGCTTCGAGTCCCCGTGTGCGCATGCGCTTTCACTTCTGCTGCGTAGAAGTGTATATCCTTCAGCGTCAGAGACCTCTTGCTCCCTCCAATTTATTTTCACCTGGTAATTTTTGACTTTTAATGATTGGTTGCACTGTTGTCAGGACTATCTTAGTAGCCATCCGATTCAAAGGGACTGATGGTTCCGACACATGGTTCTGCCCCCATCTAGAAAAGCTACAGTAATTAAATGCTGATCGCTCTGCAATTAAAGATGATGCAAAACACTACCTCTCAGCTCAACAAGCAACTGGTTTTTTTTTTTTTTTGCATTCTGACACTGTTGCTGATAAGTTTTATTTGTGTCTCACAGCAGGAGAAGCCCAAAGTGATTGACCCCCTGGACTATGAAGCTGTGATTTCAGAGCTTGAAGCTGAGTTCAGGGAAGATCCCCTGCAAGATCTTTTACTATTCCCAGACCTTGACTTCACTGTGAGTACTTTTGTTCCCTATTTGTGTGTTTGCAAGTCTAATGTGTATTTATCTTTGGTGTTCATTAAGTTTCACATGTGTTTTGGACATTTTTTGCTCTGAAAAGACTCTCTTTTAGTCGTGGTATTTTACAAAAAAGACACGAAGTAGGTGTTAAAAGAGTGTGTGCATGACTGCGTGTGTGTGTTCATGTTAAAACAGCCAAGAAGAGGCCTGTTCAGACCACATCCTCTTTCACACACAGATCTGGGTTTTTCATGGCACAAATATAAACACTGCTTGCATACATTTGCTCAATGAGCACAGTCAAACATGACACCTCATACTGGCAATGGTATATTGTGTTCATGTTAAAAGGGAGAACTCAAAAGCAGAAAGACGGCAACCCCAGGCCAAATATCGAAATCAGTAATCCAGAGAAACTGGCGAAAGGGCAGCGTTAGGGAAAGTACACTGAGCATAGTGGATATATAAACTCTAATGGATTGCAGATGCAACATGTCAGAATGCAGGTGACCTCTACTGGTGGGTGGTGGAAGTGTTAGGAGAAGATTTAGCTGTGGATATTACAACAAATTGGATGCGCTTATTTTTTAATTGATGGACAAAAATGTGATCACTTTGAACTTTTTATAGAAAAGAGCATGATGGGACATGACTAAATTGTACACAGCTTAAAGAGATTTGGAAGTTGGAAGTTTTGGAAGTTTGGCTTAGGCTTAAGGAGAGGCCACGCAGACTCAGAGCAAACAGGAGAAGCGAGGCTGTTGGAAGAGTTGATGGTTGGAATTGTGATCGACTTCTTCTGCATTGAATGAAGAAATTGTGCCAAACTCCTGATCTTGTCCTTGATTTGGTTGTGGTTAAGAGAGTCCTCTCTCTCCCGAAATGAGCACATGGCTGGTTGTGAGTCAAAACCTGCTGCCCTGGGGCCTAGTGATGCCACACAGGACAGCAACCCGAACGTACCGAGGAGACCAAGAGAGGGAAGGGCTTGTGTAGAGGCCATTTAAAGCCTGAGAAAGGTCCCACCTCTCAGGGTTGGCTCGACCAATAAGAAAAGTGGAATTTCCAAACGGCAAATTTATCAAGTGTGTCTCAAGACATACTCAGATAGATATATCAAACATAAACACACACTGCAGTCTATGAGAAGATGATGTACACTAAAGTGAGAGTCATTTAAATGAGGATTAATTAGATGGGAGACACATTATAGCCGGGGTTACATTAACTAGTAGTTCTCTCATAAAGCATGCATGAAATAAATAGAAAGTGGCAGTATACAAGACATGATTTAATTTTGTAATCACAGTCTTTTATCAGACAATAAGCCTTTTGTTTTCCCAGACTGGAGTGATAGAGGGATTCATGTTCTGGCTGATGTTTGGGGGGACAACGGTTTACGCATGTTTAATGACCTACGTGCGGAATATAATTTACCAGGCACGCTTACTTCATCTGGGAACACAAGGGGGGCGGTTTCGTCATTGTATCTTTTGTTGTTGGAAGCTTCTTATAAAAGATTACCGGTGGTGGACATTTGGCACAGAGATATCTATGGGACTGATTCAGAGAACAATATTGAAATATGTCGGGACTCAATATGGGCTAACCTCAAAGATGTTTCTAAAAACCCTAATCATCAATTGATTCATTTCAAGATGATCCACAGGTTGTATCTCACTCCCAGGAAGCGTCATTTAAAGGATTAGTTCACTTTTGAAAAAACTTTTGCTGATAATTTACTCACCCCCATGTCATCCAAGATGTCCATGTCTTTCTTTCCTCAGTCGAAAAGAAATTAAGGTTTTTGATGAAAACATTCCAGGGTTTTTCTCCTTATAATGGACTTCCATGGGAACCAGGTCCAACCGAGGTCCAAACGACAGTTAATAACAGTTACAGATGCAGCTTCAAATGTCTTTAAACGACACCAGACGATGAATAAGGGTCTTATCAAGCGAAACGATCGGTTATTTCAAAGCTTATTCCAAAAATGTAACTTTTCTAAGGACAAATGCTAGCCTTTCTCCATTCTGTGAGGCGCGTTTGCAACGTCACGCAATACGTAATTACGTTCAAAAGGTCACGGGCGACGTAGCCAGAAGTACAGAGTCAGAGTGTTTACAAGTTGAACGCATAGGTTGAACGTGAAAACTAACTCAAATGCCGTTTACAAAAAAGGAATTAAAAGGTAAAACAACGATGTCGGACGATTTTGATTCTGTACTTCCGGCTACGTCGCCCGTGACCTTTTGAACGTAATTACGTATTACGTGACGTTGCAAACGCGCCCTCACAATATATTACAAGGCTAGCATTTGTCCTTAGAAAAGTTACATTTTTGGAATAAGCTTTAAAATAACCGATCGTTTCGCTTGATAAGACCCTTATTCATCGTCTGGTGTCGTTTAAAGACATTTGAAGCTGCATCTGAAATTGTTATTAACACTATCTTTTGGACCTCGGTTGGACCTGGTTCCCATGGAAGTTCATTATAAGGAGAAAAATCCTGGAATGTTTTCATCAAAAACCTTAATTTCTTTTCGACTGAGGAAAGAAAGACATGGACATCTTGGATGACATGGGGGTGAGTAAATTATCAGCAAAAGTTTTTTCAAAAGTGAACTAATCCTTTAATGAAGCTTTCCACCTCTCCTAAATGTGATCTGTGCTCTAGTGGATGTACTGGAACTTATATGCACATGTTTTGGGAATGCCCAGAAGTCAGTGAGTTTTGGAGACAGGTTTCCAGTACGTTGAAAGACATTTTGGAGTTGGAGTTATCATGCTGTCCGAGACTCTTGCTTTTAAATGATGACTCCTGTTATACTCTCTCTTTAAAGGTGGAATACCTAAGATTTTTGCATTAAAATATCCCAAAATCACAAGGCCAGTGTTATATATTTAGTTAAGATGATAACTTACAATATTCCAAATGTTTCAAACAATGTTTAAATCGCGAGAAAATTGAGATTTTAACCAAGGAAACGGGGCGTGTGAGCAGGGGTGAGCTGGGAGTCGCCAGTCAATCGCGTCATACCTCGATTTCCGCTCGTACTACGTGTAGTCCTGGACAAATGCGGTAGTTGTAGTTGTGCGTTAGTGTCTATCAAGCAACAAACGTCAGCTTGTTTTGCGCATTTGTTATGGAATGGAGCACCATTATTCTTTTCATTTATTCTCGGAATGTGAACTGTTGGCTGTAAAGGGGGTCACACACCGGACGAGAAGCGCCGTGCCACGTTTGGGACAACTCCAGGTAACACCATCATTCTCATCAGTGTATGGCCAGCAATATTGTTATGTTTAATGACATGAATTGAAGATAATGTTTGTTCTATGTTATTGTACTGTACAATTAAATACAATCGTTGCTGAGTCTGCATTCTGAAAACTTTACCTCAGATCATCATCCGTTAACTGAATCAATTGAGAATCTCACCTGAAAAATCTAATAACATCAGCAATTGTTATTCAAGCAGCTGATTTCTGTAAATGACTGCAAAGCTAAATGCATATTGCAGCATAGGGCGAAGTCAGGATCCATTAGCAACGATTTGAGACAAAAATAAGTCACTTCGTCCAGTGACTCGTACAGTAACATCTGTGATAACTAATTTACTTTTAAACCTGACTTTTCTTTGCGCGGTTATTTCAGTTTAATAAAAAACAAGCATGTCATTAAACGCAACATTTATAGAAATCGAACTTTACCTCATCCATGACAACTAATTTTCGATTCCCGTCTGACTGATTTATCCACGGTGGATTTGAAAACAACAGTTCCTCCAGGATTTCACGATTTTTTTTTGTGATTTTTGCGATCAAATTGACTGATTTTGTGGTGGTAATTTCCAAAAATTTGTGAAAAAATTTGCGATTTATATTTAACATTTACCATACTAGTATTCAGTCCTTCCAGAAAAACGTGGAGTTTTTTTTGTGATTGTTGTGGGCAAAAATGGATTGATTATGCGGCCCGTTTTCTTTAAAAATGCGATGGAATATGCGGGATATTTATGCAATTTTATGCGATGAAATTGCAGGAATTTGCAAAAATTGAGGGAACTTGCAAAAATTGCGGTTTGATGAAAAAGAGAAAAAAAGTGATTCCCCCAACATCCTGTTAATGTAAGAGTCATTTCTTATTACTTCCTTTGATAAGCAAGCATACTACATCATAGAAAGCGCTGGGAATATTTAATTTCTCATCTTGTTTTATTTCAGACTGTAAGAGTGTAAATAAGGTGTGGCCCCTTTAAGAGCTGCGCGCTCCCTGTTGAACTCTCTGCAGTGTTATATGTGCGCATCGAACACCCCATGTGTGCGGGTAATTTCTGTTTGATGCTACTTCTTTTATCTTATGTTGTTTATTAAGTAACGATGTGACAGTAGAACGTGCGACAGACAGTTATACGAGTTCGAATTGTGGAGATGTCAATCGCCTCCGTGAGTCTGTCTGGCGTCGCGTAATTGCGTCACTTCATAACGTTCCCATGGAAACAGGGGGAAATGGCTGCTCTTGTGTGAAGCAAACGCAACATTTTTCAACTTTCTGCTAAGATACATGTGACTTTTTTGCAACGAAAATGCGAGGATTATGAAATTATGCAAACCCCGCATATTTTGCGCGGAAATCGGCAATTTATGCGGCGAAACTGCGGCGTATTTGAAAAAATGCGGCCCCTGCATAAATATGCGGACTGATTTTGCAATGAATTCAGCGATCGCATAATCGCGTTTTTCTGGAGGGACTGTGAAAACAACAGTTCCCATCATTCCGCGTTGCTCCACGTCGTCATCAAGCAAAGCCGTTGTTGTTGTTTTGAATGTAGCGCCCTCTAGCGGCATCTAAATCTTAGGTATTTTGTCATGGTCAGGTGTCATTTCAAAAATTAAGGAATGTCTTTAGGATTTATATCTCATATTTTTATTTTGATCTATTGTATCTGAAATGTGATCTGTGCTGCTCTTAAAGTGTAATTGCTCTGAAT